ACTCTCCTGACCTGAACCCCGTAGAGCAGGGGTGTCAAATATGCGGCCCGCGAGATGGTTTATTTTCATACTTTACAATGTAGAGTTAAAATAAACTTATCTTTGTGAGCAAGTTTTCTCTGTAATGAGTATAAATAAAACAAAGCTGCGCTCAAGGCTCACACAAGAACTTGAATCACATCCTGAAGTTGGCCGCCACTCAGGAAGTGACTTCTGATATTGATGTGCTGTCGAAAGCAAAAAGATGTAAAAGTAAAGTGAGTCAAATGTATTTTAAGTGCTGCATGAAACTGATCTAGCCATGTTATCTGTAAGCTCTTTGAATCACTAAGGAATGTTTTTATTTATTTATTGATTTTTAATGTTTTTCAAATTTTCAAGTACACTTCAGGTGTTGTACTTGTACTATTTTGGAAACACTGTCCTCAGGCTCCAGGCTTGTTTTATATGGATTGTACTAAAACAAAGAAAACAATCTGAAGTTGTTTTTAATTTATCGGTCCGGCCCACTTGGGACTAGATTTCCCTCAATGCGGCCCCTGAGCTAAAATGAGTTTGACACCCCTGCCGTAGAGAATCTGTGGGATATTGTGACGAGAAAGTTGAGAGACGCAAGACCCAACACTCTGAATGAGCTTAAGGCCTTTATTGAAACGTCCTGGGCCTCCATAACACCTCAGCAGTGCCTAGGGATGGGTACCTTTGACATTTGAATTGATTCGGTACTAATTCCCGGTACCTAGGAATCGATACCGGTACTTAACGGTACCAATTGTGATACTTTTGAGTGTTTATTATTTTAATTCTCTTTTATAATTAAATATATATTTCTCAATATATAACAATATTTGATAAATATCACGATAAATAACATTCAACTGTTTGTATTTTAACATCGTCCTTGTAGTTTTATAAGCTGATAATTAAACTGAAGCAAACATCTTTACTGTGAACTAAATATACTGTATATCTTCATTCCTTTGGCCGTCTTTTTTCATTTGATTTTTCCTACTGGGAAGTTTGAATTTCCAAGGAGAAAGCGAACGCACCATTAGCTGATAACAACGGTGGCAATGGAAGCTAACATATCAAGCTAACGTTATCTTTAACAGTTTATTTAACTGCTGGAGCAGATTAAAACGATGATGCCTCACACTTAGATCGTTGTCACTGGTTTCATCTTCACCCAATCACCCGTCGCATTTAGTAAAGTGAAGCCAAACTTTAGAGAGCGTTCATATTCTTCTAGTCGGATATTCGGAGTTCCGAGGAGAAAGCGAACGCACCATTAGCGAAACGGAAGCTAACATATCAAGCTAACGTTATCTTAAACATTTTATTTACCTACCGGAGCAGATGAGGATGTCTCACTTAGATCGTTGTCGCTGGTTTCATCATCACCCAGTTACCCATCACATTTAGTGAAGTGGACCCAAGCTTTAGCATGCATTCTTTCTACCATGCTGCTCTGTTTACAACTGGCTCGCAGCGAGTGACGACATAACGCTCTTGCGCATGCGCAGCTGTCTTGGCAAGTTCTCGTTATGAAGGACGGGTACCGAAACGAGGCACCGTTTGAAATGACGTGAATCGGTGCTCGGTCGGTACTATGGAATTCGGTTGGTACCTTAAAAAGTACCGAATTCGGTACTCATCCCTAGCAGTGCCACAGGCTGATTGCCTCCATGCCACGCCACATTGAAGCAGTCATTTCTGCAAAAGGATTCCCGAGCAAGTATTGAGTGCATAACTGAACATAATTATTTGAAGGTTGACTTTTTTTGTATTAAAAAAACTTTTCTTTTATCGGTCGGAAGAAATATGCAAAATTTTTGAGATAGGAGTTTTGGGTTTTCATGAGCTGTATGCCAAAATCATCAATATTAGAAACAATAAAAGGCTACTTCAGTTCAGGCTAACAACTTCAGTTTTGTGTAATGAATCATATATATGAAAGTCTAATGTTTATCAGTACATTACAGAAAATAATTAACTTCATCACAATATGCTAATTTTTTGAGAAGGGCCTGTGTATATATATATATATATATATATTATATATATATATATATATATATATATATATATTAGTACTGTGAAAAATAACGTGTTCATTTAATTAATTAATGTGAAATGTTTAATGCATTAAATAAATTAACGTAATTAATGCAGTTTTAAAATTTTTACATAATCCGACACCCCTAACTCGTGAGCGGCTCTGAAGGAGGGGGCAACACTGTGCTATGTTGGTGTCTGACCTGCTGGAAATGATTAGAAGCAGCAGCAGAAAAAGAGAGGGAGAGGAAAAGCTTGCTAGCATGGACAATGCTGTCCATGGAGCGCTGTCTAGATAGGTACAAAGCAGAGCCCAAAATGGATATTGGACACTGTCCATTACAGTGGTGGTTGAAGAGAGAAGAAGCACATTCCAGACTGGCACCTGCTGCATGCAAGCACCTGTCATCCTCTGCAACCACGGTGCCTTGTGAGAGATTATTCTCACTCTCAGGTCACATCGTTGGTGCGCTCCAGGCAGCTGTGTCCAGCGCATGGTCCATTCTCAATGTGGCGCAACCAAAAAACTATAATTAATCCACGATCGTTCATGTCCGCACATGTTCACTACTTTCTGTCTTATTTGTGCCTGAAGCACTCTGCTACAGCGGAGGTCATCACCTTTGCTGCAGTAATTTCACCTCACTGACGCAGCATCGAAATGCGCTCTCGGCTTTGTGGCAGGAGATCCCTTTGACCTGCTCAAAAGTAACTGATGATCTGAAAAAGTAAGAATCCAGGCAGCAGTTTTTCTGGAGAGTTTAGAGGAGATGCAGGAAGATGAGGGACAGACAGGACAGGAAAAAAGTTTTAAAAAACAAGAAAACAAAACAAAGTGTTGAAAAGTAAAATGTAGGTAGATTTATCTCCACTACACATTTTTACCTGTGTAAAACAATAAGTTATACACATGTAATATTTATAAATTTGATACAATTCAGATCACCTTCAAAACTCTGTCACACACCCAGGGCCGTTTCAAGGCATTCTGGGGGCCAAGGCAAAACAGAACCTCCCCCCCCCTATAACTGGGCTCCCCGGAAGCCTCTGTGTAATCCAAGCCCTGTCCAGGAGTATTAGTTATACAGTTTTTGTAAAAGCCCCTCAGACATTACTGACATGTTCTAATATTATCAAATGAAAAACTTAATTATCAGACATGCTGTCTCATCTGCTTCTTTTCTAAACTTGCAAAAAGTAACAAAACCATTTGAAAGCCACTATTTGTGGGTTCTCTGAACGTTTCCATGAAGTGTGTGACAACTTATTTTTTCACTGTGAAATATAAAGTTGGAAAAAAGTGTAAGAGCAGCCAGGCTAATGATCAGATAAATTGCGATTAATCACAATTAATTACAGATAATTGTGAGATTAATTAGTTTATTGTTTTGATCGACTGACAGCCCTAATATATATATATATATTTATATATATATATATATATACATATACACACACACACACACACACACACATATATATATATATATATATATATATATATATATATACATATAGTATCGACTCCACTGTATCGTATCGCCAGGTTCTTGTCAAAACACATCCCTAAATCCTTTTTCTGGCAAAGACTTGGGTTTTAATTACATTCCATGAATCTTCAGTTGGGTGGAGGTCATGACTTTGGGAAGACCTAGAAGCTAAATGTCAACCTGTTTCATCCAGTTAGAAGCCAGTTCTTATGTGGTTGAGTATCCTCGACCTGTTGAAGCACCCAGCTGTGTTCGGGTTTCAACCATCTCAATGGTTTAACATCGAGTTGAAGAATTTAGAGGTGGTCCTGTCCACTTTCAGGACCACAGCATGACTCTTGGCAGTTGATACAGAATCCTACAAACATCTTGTCACTAAGACAAAAAATCTCAATGTTTGTCTTGTTCTGTATCTGCAAAGAAGAAGAAAACCCCAGAAACGTGCACTGTTATTGGTGTCTATTGTCCTTGAGGCTTGCCGTAGTTGCATGAGGACATGCAGGGGTTTATGAGGGTTGGAGGTAGAAGACCATTACGAGGCAAATAGGAAGGAAGAGTGACAGTAAACCAAGGCTCATGAAGCAAGAAAAGCGTGTGATTTATAATCAACAAACATTACACTCACTCAAGAATCAGAGAAGGCTCAACAATAACAAACATGCCTCCTTGCTGCTCTGTGTTGAGAATAGAGTGAAAACAAAACGAGAGGACGTGTTTAGACAAGAAAATGGCTGGGCAGACGCGTCGGTGCTTGCTTGTTGTGTTCATCGTGTCTGGTTACCTCACGATGAAGCCCAAACTCAGCCCAAACGAGCCCAAAGATCATCTCACGAGAGGAAAATCACACCGCTTTAGCGGCTCCTGGGATGTTCCTGAACATCCTTTCATCCATGGTTGACTGGTGACCATTGTTCAGTCTAGTAAATGCTGTAAAAACATCTGTTAGCTACCAGCTCCAGTCAGTCTGGATCACTAACAAGGATTAATCAGCCTCATCAGGTTCAAACCTACCACCTTCAGCAGAACTTATTTGAAGATTTCTTTTGACCCTGTGTGGAAATAAATGTAGACATGTTTCCCCGGTTCTCATGTGTTCTCTGAATGATCATTTCACCCTGGAAAAAGAACGGTTCAAATAACTTGTTAAAAGGTCATAATCAATAATAATGTGCATTTCTACTTCTGATAAAATGTCAAGCAGTTTCACGAGGATTTGAAAAGTTTTAGCTACATTTTTACCAAATGTCTCAACAAATTTATTTTCCTTTTATAATTATCCACACTTATGTTACAGCAGGAACATTATTAACACATTCATCTTTCATGAATGAATGAATGCAGTGTTTCTAATGCAGTTGTGTTTTCTTGTTGCTCTTCTTTCCTTTATTACCCAGCAGGGTATATCTGGTGGCCCGGGACAGACAGGACGAAGTTTCTAATTGGCTTTGTGTGCAGGTGACGATAATCCAACTTCAAGCACTACAGCGTTACCGACGGCTAAACCAGTGACAAGTTGGAACCATATGAAGAAGAAAAGAAACCGTTTGTCATCTCAGAAAAATAACAACTGCTGTACTATAATCCAAACCTCCTCCTAACTACAACCTGGTTTGGTCACGATGTTTCACGTCGAGTTCGAGCACCGATTTCCTTCCTCTCAGCTTTTGTTTCCGTTGGGGTTTTTTTTCTTTAGCATTGTTTTTCTTTAAGCTGGATTTGTTTTTTCTTGTCATTCTACCTTCTAATAGTGTGTAAATTTTTGTTGTTTTTGTTTGAAGTACACAGCGGGTCACAGCCAAGAACATCTGCAGTCATGTCTTCACCTTCCTATTGGTCAGTGTAAAGGCAGAAAGGTCAGGGTGTTTCCTGTCGCTCTTTCTGCAAAAACAAGAATAAAAAAAACCGAAGACACTCATTATGGAAAGACTTGGAGAAAAAAATAAACCACTGAAATTTTAACAAAAGTATCAAAGTAATAAATTTTAGTAACCCTTTTCATTTCTGTGATGTCTCATTGTAAACCATAATTACCTATTTTTGGGCAATACAAAGAGGACTCCAATATTTTTATGGTCCTTTTTTATAAGTGTTGTTTTTGTTGTTTAGAAATATAAATATATATATAAATATATATATATGCTATAACAAATTTCATATAACTACATTGTGAATTCAAACTTGAGAAAAAGAGATGTAGCTGTACATATTATTCCAGTCACTGCATATAACCGACTCAGTGAGAGAATACCATATTTTTGTGATGGTGTGTCAAAAAAGATCGTGTTATAGCGCGTGAATAGAAGAAAAAAATAAGTCGTAAATAATATTCTATTGTTGTTTTGTTTTGTTTTGTTTTTTCTGCTGGAAGACGGTGTAACAAGCCCGCAGACGGACAGAAACACACTGGCTCTGTAAATACTGACGAGGAATCATTTTAGCACGAGTCATACCAGCAAATTTATGACCGGTGAGTTCAAGCTACAGTTTTTTGAGAAATAATATTAATGGTCGTTTAAAAAAAATAAAATAAATAAAAAACAAGACAAAAAAATCATGATTGGTATTTTTTGTCTAAATGTTGATTTAAAAAAGCTGAACGATTGAATCCAAAGCACATCGTAGGTGACGATTAGAACTTGAAGCAGGCGTTTTGCAGAGCTCCGTGCATCCTGACACTTTTTTACTCTCCAGAGGAACTTGTTAACTGTTTGTTCGTTTCATCCTGCTTGTTCCCGATTCACTTCGCGGAGCAACAACAAATACCTGGGCTCTGTGCCAGAGCCTTTATACTCTACTGCTCGTTCTTTGAATCAGCTCTTTTTGAATGAATTAGGACATTTTGATACCATACCTCAGCCTTCGTGGGTTCTGTCACCGGAGTCATCGGCGGGTTTCCTTTTATTCTAAACACTGAAGAAGAAAAAAAGGCGATCGAGCGAGTAATCGTTGCACTGTGAGTTGTAAAGTACAGGCCATTCTCCTATTTGCACATGTGTACGTTGGATTTTTAAAGAGAAATAAAAAAAATAGGGCCCTGTGCTTTGGGACAGCATGAAGGATTTTAGGGTTAACGTTAACAACTGATGTGTTGCCGTCGCGTTTCTTCGTATATTTGGACCCATTGTCCTCCTCTGAGGATCTTTCTACAGGGTCATGAAACGACACTGAATTATTCACTATCTGTCGCTGCACCAGATTTTACACAATACGCGATTTATCGATGGTGATGATAATATTATCCTCCAGAGTGCACTCTGGTTTGTAGATTCATCAGTGCCGCTGCAGACGTGTTTGTCGTTCTCATTTCAGTGCACTTCTTGCTTCATTTCTCTTCATTTCTAAACAACCAGGTAATAAATATGCTGGATTCTTCTAAAGATGTGGAGGTGTGATCGGTTCAGAGAAAAGAATAAAAAATGAATAAAACCCTCGTAATGTTCAGATGTTTTAAAAAAAGAATTACAAAAGTTTTAAAAAATGGCGCTTCTTTGCTGATTTCCAATTTAATCAGAGTTTTATTGATACTTTGTGGTTTATATATTAATAATTGTATTATACTATGAAAATGTACTGTGCATCCATTACGTTCTCTCTTCTCATCGCCCATCCTCTCCTCTTTCTGTTGATCATTCATTAGTGTGTAAAGAAATCACAGTTAACTTGTAAACAGAGTGCTGTCTTTGATACCAGTGTAGTGCTTTGTTGTTCTCCCTCGCTCTACCCTCCCTTCTCTCATATTTACCTCCCTCCCTCCCTCCCCCCCTCCCCCCCGCGCTCTTTTTCTATCTCCTGTAATTACAAAGTAGATGTTATATAGGACTCATTTATATAATACTTGTAGTGAATAGTGGATTTAGGACCAGTCAAGATAGAGCTTTCTCTCAACGATCATGTTCTGATATTTACAGACGATTTTAGTTTTGGTTTATTTGAGATCCGTTCTAATTTATTCCCTGTATGTTTGATTTATTTGACTTTGTTTTTGTTTGGTTTTGCCACTCTAACATGAGTTTCAGCTAACCAAAGCTCTCATGGATGAACAATGGAGGAACTGTTGCTGTAAGGTGGAATCGTACACACGGCATTATTTGGATCCCCACCCTTGAATGTTTTTAAAAGGGGGTGTGCCATACTACCTTAAATGCTAACCCTAGATAAGCTGACGTTTTGGTCGTTTTCCAAGAGGGACACAAGCTAAAACCATGTCAAAGTCACAGAAAAGTCAAAGAAAAGTTCAACTGTGTTTATTTTTGTACGTTTGGGGATGTTTTCAGACTAGATTTATTATTTCTAGATAGAAAAACAACTTTACATCTGGTGAGTCGGTTAATGTTAGCTGAAACTGGCATCAGTGTTACTGACAAAAGCATTAAATAGTTACATTTATGCCTGCTAGCGCTTCACTGCTATGCTTGAGATTAAAACTTTATTAAAAGGCAGCAAAAAGAAAGTGTTGGCTTTAGTTGTTTTAATGAGTCTACTTAAACCTAATCAACATTTTTCTATGTAATTCTATTCACCTCACTGGTTTTTAAACGTACTGCTGTTACTATAATGAGGATGAAGTAACATTAATGGATTCATTAGTAAAGTGTTGATCATTTAAAGAAAACGATGAATCTAAACAAGCATCCAGGACAAAAATTAACTAAACAGGAAATGAATGAATGAAAAAACAATAAAAACCAAAACAACAGCTGCCTAATCCTTTTATTGGTAAAATATCAAGAAAAATATTTCTGCAGAATTGTAATTTTTACGTTTGCACATTAGTTGTTGTGACATCCATTCGCTTGAATTAACCTGTTTACGATTTAAACAGAGAAAAAAGCTTGAGACGGTTCACTTTCCCTCCTTCAGCACACCGGGACCGGCTCCTGTGTTGTTACGTCATCACGCAGCTTGGACTTTAAGGTAGCATGGCTCTTTTGCTGTAATTTCGTTTAATCTCAAAACTGACAGCGGTTTACAGCTGATGAATGTTACACATCTTAGTAGATTAGATTATCCATCCGGGGAGAGGGGAGGGTCTCAGTTTAAGAAAAAATAAAAGAAAATAATCAAAAAAGAAAAAAGTCAACCTGGAAGGCGTTGACACTTGTAGTGTACCACCGTATCCATTTAAACTTGAATCTCGAGGCAAGTGCTAGGCAATGGCCAACCGATAAATCTCCCTATGAATAGTGGGAATAAAGGCATCCTGAAACAGCCCGGACTTCTGATATTTCTGTCTTCTGCTGGTTTGAACGTGAGAACGAGCTTCTGCTGTCTCCTAACAGGCTTGAGGATTAGACCGTAACCGGATTTGTGTCCAAATAAAGAATCCATCTTATTCAAAGTGGTGCTAATGGTTTTAGACCAGTCGATGTGCCCTTATCTCTGGGAGATACTGGAACCAGTCAGAGTGACCACAGCGCCAGACTCCAGGGATTGGCTAAGTCGTTCTATTTGTGGTTTCAGATCTCTCCTAACAGGACGTATAAATAACGGGTCGTGTTCACACGCAGACTCTGTGACAGAAATAACACAAGTTCCTGTGTGAGGTCGTGTTTTAGGGTGGACGTCCCTTCAGTCCAAACCACCTCGCCCATCCTCATGACTAGATACACACGTGTGTATGCGTGTGTGTGTGTGTGTGTGTGTGGTCATGAATATATATCTGTCTGGATATTATTATTAGACTGGAGACCTCAGCTGTATACTAAATATTCCTCACATACACACCCAGGGTCATTCTAGTTCATACGTCATCATGGTAGCGTTCACGAGCCCCCACCCGCCAACCACCACACACACACAAACACACACACATGCACCGTGTGTGAGATGGGAGCCTGGAAGCCCTTCGGACTCCCCACTGCCCATTCCTAACACTTGCCCCCGTTTTTTTATGTTAACCGACTTTTTATGGCGAGAGACAGACAGACTTGACTGACATCTGAAAGCATCTTTCAGGTTATCATATGGCTTTGCTCAAGCCCTATTGTAAAATATACGAAGAAAAAATAATCGTGGTGATGATGATGATGATGATGATGATGATGATGATGATGGATGGGGGTCTCTCACATATCAAATGTGGAAAGTCTAATTTTATATTTGTATTTTCAAATAATAATATTGACAAAAAAAATGTCTGTGAAAGGTTTCCATCCTCTACTGTGGTCCAGAAATTGATGTGTCTGTCTGGAAAATAACTAAAATAAACTGAATTGTTATATGATTGTTTTGTGTTTTTTCTGATGTCTCGGCCTCAGAGGGGCTTCTCTATCGGCGGCAGACGGACTCGTCATCTTTAGTCCAAACTGAAGCTTTTATTCTGAGAGGGGACCACACAGCCGGCGTGTTAGCGCCCCGGGTTGCTGCAGGTCACCCACAAGTCATCAGGATTAATAGAGTCTAAGGATAAGGTGAATGTGGTGGTGATGGAGGGTGGGGGGCTAAGTAAGCCACGCCGTGTCACTCTGCCGCCCCTCAGTGGTCTCTCTCTGTGACTGAACGGTGGATGGCTTTGCTTCTCACAAGATTGATCACAACAAACCATTTTTATTCACCTTTAATGACCAGATGCTGCTTATCTGAACTTTTAGTTTCTGAAACAAAATATCCATCAATGTTTAACTCTGATCACAGGTTTGAGGATTCAAATTTACATATTAGGATCTGTTTGGGTTTGAAGATTTAAATTTGTATTGATTTTTTCAATGAATTAAGTTCTTTAATGTCGAAAAACAGCCTTTTGTTTATGGTCAGTGTGAATTTTTAGCTGTGAAATTCAGCGACAGGGACTCTAATGCTCGTCAGGTGAGACTAACAGGCTGGCAGCTTCATCACTCATTTAGACAAGGTGATCTATTTATTCTGACTGAGATCGATCCGATTCTCAGCCGCGTTTTTCACAGCCGACGCTCCACAACCTTAGAGCCCTCTGCAGCCGTGTTTTGGGTTTATTTTTTTATATTTTGTACAATGTTGATCCAATTTAGCAGCTGGGGTGTTTTGATTGTCTCCGTTTGGCAGAGAAATCTACAAGTGCTCATTAGAGAAACAACGCAAAAAAGTGGAGATGCGGTTTAAAAAAAACCAAGGGCCCAAAGAATTGGTGACTGATGAACAGTGAGAGCCATGAAGCTCCAGCCAGTCGTGTTTTTTAACTTGTAATCCAAACTGCTTGACCTTTCCAGTCCACCTGCCTTTAATTAAGTGCTAATTAAATGCTCCATTGTGGTGAGAAAGCTCCACACACTCTCAGGCCCTTAAACGCACAGATTCCGGTCTTTGGTGGAACTTTGAGACAATCAGCAGTCATTATGGGAGTTAAATGTCAGCTCACAGCAGAGAAAAGAAAGCTGGTTTAATCTGTGAAATCAAAGTTTACTTTGAAGTAGAAATACTGTTTTAGCAAAAGACCACAATAATGGTAATTGTATTCGTTTTTTTTATCGTCGGAGCACATTTGTTCCTACTTTAATCGATCTCTACGGAGCAAAAAAAAGTATTTTCTCCCAGATTTCTATTTAAACTCACTTAAATGTTTAATATGAGCACAAAAAATGTACAGCAAAATATTAATAAAATTTGAGCTGCTGTTTTTAAATTGTTAAATTTCATAAAAGTTTGAGGCATTAATTAGTCTTGAGTTAACTATGATTAATCGTGATTAATTTAGAAATCTGAGGATTGGAGAATTAAGAAATCACTTTCATAGATCCGAGCAAGTGAAGTGGGCCAAATGATCTCCAAAAGCTACACATAGTTCTGTGTTCTAAAGATATTCAATAACAAAATAACCCCAATCATCTAAAGCAAGACACATCAGAGAGAAGACTGTCCTGAACATCATAGCAGCAGCCAGACACAGTGGTGGTAGTGTGATGGTCTGGGGCTGTTTTATCACTAAGGACCTAGTTGATTCCCATTAAATGATTGAATTATTTACAAAATTCTCAAGGGGATCATCAGCTTTAACATTGATCTCAGTGACTGTTGAGTTAGAAACTTGACCAGTTTCATATTTTACACCACTCTGCAGCCCTCTGCTGACCAAATCTGCACACTATTATTTTGTGGAGCAGGGAGGTGTCCTGGGGGAGCTATTTACCTGCTTTACGGCTGTAATGCTAGTGATTAGCATTTTAGTTCGCCAATAAAAGGTACAAGAAAAAGAAGTTTATTTTTCTGGGAGGCGAAGCAAAGAGCTAAAACCAGAGTGGACATAAGTGCAGCCTACATAAGTTTGAGGGAGCTAAAGGAGGCTACAAAATCACAGATGGATGGTGACCTGGCTTTGATGTTACTAGACTTGTAAGTAATAATATTTTTGTCCAACAGTGTGGATCTTTTTACGTCGTGGTTTATTTTAGCATTAGCTCGTTGTTAGCGCTAGATACAGCTGGCTGCAGCAGGGTTGTAATTCCACTTTCAACCAGTAGGGCAGAGCAGCAGGAAACAACTTTTTATTACTTTTAACGCTGGAAAACCCTTCAATGTAGCCAAATGCAAACAATTCCTCCAGCTGGGTTTGGTTTGGGGTGAAAGCTGCATTTTCTCTTGTCTTCTACTGAATCTTATTCATTCATTCACACCTCTAAAGAAGGTTACAGAATTCAACCAAGTTTCCTTTTTAATTTTCCTCTAACGTTTTACTGAAATCCAACTCTCAAAACTTTTGCCGAGGACCTCACAGACACAAACTTTCCCCGCTGTGTTCTGCTGCTGCTTGTCGCTGGCTCATTTAAAGGCCTCGCCTCATACCAGCAGCTCTGTGTAAATTTCCCATGGGCCAGTTCTAACAGGCAGGATGTGACAGCTCCACGGCAGACACAAACAAGTGCAGAAATGCCACAGTGAGGCGAGGACGCACCGCGGCAACGAGGATGGCGCTGGTAAAGGTGTGATGAAGAAGTAGTGGATGATAGAACTGCAAGAGGACTGACTACCTGTCTGCCATGCATATTCATGTGGTACTGCAGGAGATGCACCCCCCCAGCCTGCGAGGACACCTCAGGGCCCCTCAGCATTTAATAACGATAATTAAGAGCCAGTCTGAAATGCTGGCATGTCTAATTGCCAATTACAGGTAGGTTGGGTGTGGGTGAGAATGACAGCTATTTCTGTAGCACATGAGTCTGAATAATCCTTCTGTGTTTGGACCTTCAAAACAGCCTTGATCCTCTCCCTCACACCAGCCTGGCATTGTAGGAATTCAACAGCAGTAATGAGCAACATTCAGTGGATGTGCACTTAATTTTTATGTGCATCACTAAATTATCTCCCCGCACAGCCATGTAATGGTTGCTCCTCTTTTGAAGCGGAAAATTTTTTTGACAGTGCTGTGTAATGGAGTCAATAGTTGATGAGGAGACTGTTGTGGATGGGGAGATGAGGCACTCAGGTGGCTGCTTCCTGCCAGACTCCAGGCCTAATGTAGCCTTTGGCATGGAAATTGACGTGACATTGATGGGCACTCTCCTGCCAGCAGAGAGCCGTGCGCCTGCACAGCCTTCCAATTTGCTAATAATTGCTGATTAAAAACTAGTTAAGAGCCCATGAAAACTCAAATGTGCATTAACCAAATGACCTTCTGGGAACGGCGAACAGTCTGTGGCCGAGAGCGCAGATGGAGTCGTGTGTGTGGATCCCTGGAAACAAACAAGTTAGCTGTATTGTTTTCAAACCTGAAGCACCTCCTTGTATCACAAAGGAGTAGATAAAATCATCCATACCTTACCATTAAATAAGGAACCCACAGTGTTCTTTAAGAAGGGTGCCATGGGTGTGGGAAGTTTAATCAGCATCACCAAATCTGGTTTCTTATCAGTAAAACATCAGAAAGCCGTTTCAGAGTCAGATCATCCTGAATCTGCAGAGTGAATGAATTAGGCGTAGCTGAGAACAATTAAAGCCAGATTTCATATGACCCATGTCAACACATTTGTTAAATGACTTCATGAAATGTGATTCGTAATGCAATTATTTTCTTTTCCAAACTCTGCGGGATGAGATGGCTGTAATCTCATTACTTTGATATGATTCATTATTCTCTAATATAAATGATGCTAATTGTGATTTAATGCGAGGTCAAGGATCAGCAAATTGTCATTCTGTGCCGTTCGGGTGGCATCTGTGACACCTCATTAACACGTTCACCTTGTTTTTTCTCAGGTGAGTTTTGTGTTAAATTACTGATTTAAACAGAGAATATCTGGAATTTTACCTGACAAGTTCGTGTTTATCTTGAATAAACCCTCGCTTTCCCGGAGGACTGGAGGTTTTTCAAATATTTTGCAGTCTTATTGATTTGCAGGCTGTATGCAGCCTGAAAAGAAGGCCATGAGCTGAGCTGACTGACTCTTTTTCCCCCTCTTGTTATGCTCCAGATGAAGCATCCCTTGGTAACAAAAGCCATCACTTTTGGCCCAGATCACAGAGGATGCAGCTGTCTGTTCATTGTTCATCATTATTGTCTTCATGGATCTGATGATGCTCCAGAATCAATAGTTGCCTTGGAGCAAACTAGTGAGCAGCGGACTGTGGAGGGCAGGTTAGATCGACAATTATCACCGGAGGATAGAGCAGAAGTACAAAGTGAATGGCCAGGAGAGAGAAGAGGCTGTACTGGTGTTGATGGGATCGTTGTCAGTGGATTACCAGATTACCAGTGATCACTGGTCTGAGTTGGGCCTTTTTACCTGGAAAATAGGACCTCTGTTACTGGCGAGGTTCCTGTGTGATTCCCAAACCAGCATCGAAATCATGTTGTAGGTGTGGGGAAAACACGCTTCTATGAGTTATTGAGATGGGCCTTTTTTTTTTTTGCATCTTTCACCTGATTTATGGTTCTATTTTCATGCTCCACAGTGTAATTTGTTAGATAATGATAAAATGTTAGACATTAAAAAATTTTTATTGTAACTCAAACGCAAATAGTAAAAAAAAATCACAGTAATAGATCAATCCTATTGGTATTAGACCAATAACTGATCCTGGTTTGGGGCCGATACCTGATTTTTGTATTGGTAATGGATTGATAAAGTTAAAGTCCCATTAATTCATCACACAATGGTGAAATACATATTCACATTTGACCCATCCCCTGGGGGAGCGGTGAGCTGCAGCTATGGCTGTGTTTGGGAACCATTTGGTGGTTTAACCCCCCAATCCAACCCCTTAAAGCTGTGTCAAGCAGGGAGGCATTGGGTCCCATTTTTAGGGTCTTATGAC